TGAGAAATTTACAGTATCTGCTTTTCTTCCAAGAAAGTTGTCACTTTTATGCCAGAGTGAGAATTATTTGTATGCTTTGTATGTCAGCATTGGGCCACTGTGACTGGGGGGCACTTAGCTTGACTTGAGAGTAATTATCTTGCTCACTGGCTTAGAGGGAGGGTGTGTGGCAGAGGAGATAAATACTCGGTTCTGAATTATTCATTGATTGCTGACTTTCTGGATTGATTGTGCAAGCCCCTCCTTTTATTGATGTCCACCTTCTATTGACAGACATCTACCCTGGGAGAGAAATGAGATGAAACTCTCTTTCTTTTCATTGTAAAAAGCATTTGAATTCCTAAGGTGTGATAAGGCCACCCAGCCATCCACAGTCAAGGTACACATTTTCATGGAGGATGTTCCCACTCTTGAATAAATTAAAACAATTTTTTTCTTTTAATTTAAACTTTCTTCTATAACTGTTTTCTTGTTACTTAAAAGCTAGTTTTTTTGAAACTACTTCCAAAGCTTTTCAAGCTGTATATGTCCTTGGAATGAATTTATAAATAAGAATTGAGACTGGCCGGCGTGACTCAGTGGTTTAGCATTGGCCTATGAACCAGGAAGTCACAGTTTGATTCTAGATCAGGCAACATGCCCAGGTTGTGGGCTTGATCCCCAGTACGGGGCGTGTAGGAGGCAGCCGATCAATGATCCTCTCTCATCATTGATGTTTCTATCTCTCTCCATCTCCCTTCCTCTCTGGAGAGAGAGAGAGAGAGAGAGAGAGAGAGAGAGAGAGGAGTATATATGTTGTCAATAAGAAAACATGTATTTGATGCTCTTAGAAAGTCTTATTTTCTTTCATTAAAACTTGTGCAGTATAGGGAACTCCATAGATTCTCTTAATTTGAAGAAAGTTAGAGGGAAAGGTACTAATTCAGAGTTCCTTGGGAAAATGTGTCACTTATATATTTTTTTATGTTTATTTTTTTAAATCAAAAACTGGAATATTTTCTATTCAGAAAATATATTTGGATCTAAATTTCTTCTATAATTTTAACCCTAAAATATCAATTTAAATATTTTTAAAATGGTTGGGATATGTTGTGTTTTTTTTTTAAATAAGTTAGGTTACTAGAGTTCTACATGTTACTGGATCACCTGGGGTAATTTTCTGATTGGAAAATTAAGAATTATAGTCAGAGGGGAGGACATGAGAATTTTTAAAGAACATATTCAATTTACTTTAGAAGCTGAACCTCTTATCATGTGACTTGTTTTGTATGTTTGCTAAACTATATTATCACATAAGCATTGCTGCTATTGGGACAAACAGTGACAGTTGATTCAGGTTATTTGAATGTCCACTGTCTGTTTTAATTTGTATGTTCGTTTTGACTCTGTCATATGCTCAAACTTCAGTGGAAGTCATGAGAACCTATTATTTTTGCCTGCTCCCTCTTTTATGTTGGAAATATTCTTTTTTACTCAGAGGGACCTTAACTTTGATGTAAGGGATTGTTTCCGTTGCCAACTTTTTTCTTCCTTGCCAAGTAAGAGAGTTGTTGTGAACTCTTCAGTGATGCCTTCCCCTCGATATTTGCAGATGTGGTTGGGAAAAGTCATTTCATCCCCGACCTTTGCATGTCAGGTGCTGGGGTGCCCGGGTGCCCAGGGTGCCGCCGTGCCTGCAGCCGGGGCTCTCCCTTTACAATCACCGACTGGGGGCGGGCAAAGGCAGCCCCGGTTCTCCAATCCAGGGCTGGGGGGCAGGTTCTCAGATCCTGCCACCCGGCTCTTGCCTGCCGCCTGGGTTTCCAATCACCATTCTTCCGTCCTTCCCCTTTCGCCTCCCATCATTGTGCCTACGTATGCAAATTAACCACCATCTTTCTTGGCAGTTAATTTGCATGTCGCCCTGATTAGCCAATGGGAAGCGTAGCAAAGGTACAGTCAATTACCCTTTTTGTCTTTTATTGGATAGGATAGGCAGAATTTTAAAGATATCCCATTTGTCTCCCATCCTCTGGTTATTCAATCAAACAATCTAGGTAGTACTGTGAAAGGACTTTGTAGATGGATTGAAAGTTACTAATCAACTGACCTTGAAATCAGAAGGTTATCCTGAATGATGCAGGGGAGCCCAAAGTAATCGCATAAACCCTTAACAATAGCAGAGGAAGGCAGAAGAGTCACTCAGAGGAATACAATGGAAGAATGAGAAGGGATGTGGCAGGAAAGGACATCAGAGAAATTCCAAACATGAGTACAGTTTTTAAAAAATATGTGTTTACTGATTTTTAGAGAGAGAGGAAGGGAGAGTGATAGAGAGATAGAAACATCAATGAGAGAGAAACATTGATCAGCTGTCTCCTGCATGCCCCCCACTGGGAATTGAGCCTGAAACCTGGGCATGTGCCCCAACTGGAAATCAAACCAGTGATCTCTTGGTTTATGGATTGGCGCTCAACCAATTGAGCCACACTGGCTGGGCAAGAGAAGGATTTTTCACACCTTTAATGCCTCTGAGATATAAGGGTCCAAGTAAGGACCTGCATGATACCTCGTGGAATTTCAGGTTCGATTCCTATTCAGGGATATACCTAGGTTGCCGGTTCGATCCCTGGTTGAGGTGCATACAGGAAGCAACTGATGGATGTTTCCCTCTCACATCAAGGTTTCTCTCTTTCCTAGCACCATTTATTGAATTTGATCTTGGTTTTATACTGTACATTCATGAGCCAAACATTAGGATCAAAGCAAATTACAAGTTACTTCCTATAACTTACTCCTTCCTATCACATAAATTTAAATTGGATTTAGGTATAAAGGGAACTAAACATTTAAAAATATTAAAACATTTACATTAAAAAATAAAACTCTAAAATGGGGAGATATCTGTAATACTATCAACAATAAAAATACATTTAAAAATGAAAAAAATAAAACTTTACATTTACACATGAGGGTATATTTGGGTAACAGATAAAACAAAATTATGTATTAATGCTTGTGTTCATTTCATTATCCCTCTAGATCAGCGGTTCTCAACCTGTGGGTCGAGACCCCTAAATACATCCTGCATAACAGATATTTACATTACGATTCATAACAGTAGCAAAATTACAGTTATGAAGTAGCAACAAAAATAATTTTATGGTTTGGGGTCACCACAACATGAGGAACTGTATTAAAGGGTCGCGGCATTAGGAAGGTTGAGAACCACTGCTCTAGATCATCAAATGATTAATTTGGTATCTATAGTAGTTTCTTTTTCTTTCTTTTTTTAATCCTCAACCAACGATATGCTTTCATTGAATGTCAACTGTAATTGAAAAATAAAATTAACAAAGAAGACAAGATCAAGAGTTTCTTGAGAGTAGGGACCCTGCCTAATTGTGTTTGTATTATCTTTGGGTAGATATATTGAAAGCATTTAATAAATGCTTCTTGAACATTGTATGTATTGGTTGCTCTTTTTGCTTCGAGAAAAAACTTACTTTAAAAAAAACTGTGTCCCTTATTTTTTCTTATAGGTTATGCTTTCTAATCCAGTGCTAGAAAATCCAGTGAATCTGCAAGCAGCCCAAACACTGGTTGAAAATGAAACTGTATACAAACTAATAGTTCAGAAACTTTTCCGTGAGAAATTATCATGTAAGAAATGCCTACTTATCATTTGCCAGTTATTAATTATATATTTATAGCAGATAAGTGATCTAGCAAATAACTGTTATATAAAAGAATATTTTCTTGTATCCATTTTCAGTAATGAAATTATACTAAGATCTCTCCTACTGTACCTCTCTGTCAAGCCAATTATGTGATCTTTTTTAAAGATTATCAAAGATTGTCAGCTTAGTACCTTTAAATGTAATGGTCATATGCATGGATGGTGCCAATTAAAACTAGTCTACCCATCATAAAGCTACGACATCTATTTTTAATTCTTTGATCTATAATGGATATTTCCTAGATTTCACCGGCAGCACCCCAGGTATTGCTGATCTGGGATTCCCTTCCTCTTTATTAGCAAAATGCTCAGCTTTTTTCTCTTTCTTTCTTTCTTTATTTTTTTTATTTTTTTATTTTTTATTTTTTTTAGACAGTACACCCACCCCCTACCCTCCACTACCTCCAGGTATTCCTTCTAAGTGACTATGTGGAAATGGTATCTGAGGCTCTTCAGTCTTTCTCTCTATTGACTAATGTTTATAAGATACCCTTGGTTTGCTCACTCTCATTCTGCCAGTAACCTCTACATGACTCCTAACTCCATCACCTTCATGGATCCTGTTTCTGCAGTTAGCAGAACAATGCTGTTGGCTCCGATGCCCAGAAGGGTTTGCCACAAGGGAGGGTTGGGCCCATAGTGACGTGGTTATTCCCTTTCTATCCTGCCCCTCCTCTTCTGCAGTGCACAACCTTGCATAGTAGCCGGCATCATCACCTCTTTAGTCAGCAGGCCTTGCTGTTTCAACTCATTCCTCTGTTCTTACTTCTCTCTCATGTGTTTTATCTCTCAGATGCCCATTCTCTCTTTTCCCGGTCCCCTTCTAGAACCTGCTGGTCCATTAGCTAGGTCTGTACAATTGGAACCAAGTTCAGATGTTTCTCCACAGGGCTTCTGGGTCTGATGCAAATGAAGCCGTTTGGATCAGGCATCTTTTCTGGTTTGTCATGATTGCCAGGAGGTTCCTCAAACACTCCCTGACGGTTTTGAGGCTTGTTTGTACACAGAGGAGTCACATTGCTTTACCCTGACCACATTTGTAATCTACCAGAACACCATCGCATCCACGGCTGTATCCTCTGCTCTCAGTAATCATTTATGAATGAATGCAGGAAGGATACATATCACTTAACCTTTCGTTGAGCCCTGCAGGACTATCATTATAAAGAGAGATTCTGTAACAAAGCTATGTCCATATTCTGGTGAATGGATATTTAAAAGCTCGATTTAAAAGCATTTTCTACAACAGATGATTCTATGCAACCGATTTTGTGTTTGCCCTGCAGAGAGAAAGGATGAGAAGGAAACTAAACAAAAATTGTCCCTTCCTTTTGTCCTCCTGTCTTGTAGGCATCAGCCTTCACCCCTTTCACTTCTTCAACTTTGCCATCAAACCACACAGAAAAGCTGTCCAAATTGCCAAATCACCCAGCAAGTGAGCAACAACACAGATAATACTTTGGCAGGTTTGGAAACAGTTGCCTCTCAATTGTAAAGACCCTGTTGCCTTCTTGTTGCCAGGGTTGCTCTTGAGAAGCCTGATTTCCTTCAGATGTCCAGTTGCTCACATGCAATAGATTTTCTTTCTGGAAGCTTTAAAATCTTCTCTTTATTCCCAGTGATCAGAACTTTCTTGGTAATGTTTCTTGATGTAGTTTTTCTGTGTTTTGTTTTGTTTTTTCTCCTTGGTTCGCATGTAGGGCATTTGATAGGTGGTTTAAATCTGATTTTTAAAACTTTAATCCTTTCGTTCTGGACATTTTTCTTATGTAATTTCTTTTATAATTTATTTCCCCTTCATTTTCCCTGTTCTTTCGTTTAAATATCCAGATACTTAGATGTGGGATCTATTGATCCTTTGATTCTTTAAAAAATCTGCTTTCTCCTATTATCCATCTCTTTGTTTTTTGTTCTATATTCTAGAAAATTTTCAGAAAAGTATGTTTCTGTTTTTCTCCCTGTTTATTTGTTTTGATGACTCTCTTTCATGATATTGAATTTACTCAAATGTCTAGGATCTTTGACTATTCATATGATGAACATACGGTGAATGGAAATCAGTCACTAAAAAGATGGGTACTATTTAAATACAGACTGGACTTGTGGACGTTTTTGTTTCATTGCAGGGTTATTCCGTGGAGGGTACCATTAGTTACCATTGGTTAGGCTTGAAGCCGTTAGTTAGGCTTGACTCTTTCCCCTGAGATAAATCTGGGAGAGAGATGCTAGCTGCTCACACTCTGGGAGCTGGACAGGGGGAGAGAGTGAGTGGGCATCTTATCTCTTCAATATGAATTATTTGGTTTAGTCACCACTTTCCCTTACCACACTCTTGTTCTGCTTTGTGCCTAGTCTCCTCCAGGCTTGAGCCTCTCTGACTCAGTTTCTCCAGAGAGTACACCTCCTTCCTCCTATCTGGGCAGTGGTGACCATCTGGGTGCACAGGGAGAGGGGGTCGATCTTGGTTGGCTGCGCTGTTCCTCTCACCTTTCTGAGGTATCTGGCACCTCCATTTTCTGGATTGTTCCTCACGTTCTGAAGTGTAAATCTGCCTCTTTTTATTGCCCCCACCCTCCCGCCCCTCCACCCCCGCCCATCACATAGCTAGGTTTCAGATATCCACATCCTGCTAGACAGTTACCCCTTTCCACCGGCTTTCCATCTTGAAATTTTTTCTTGCCATCTTTGTTGGCTCTCCTTGAGGTTTTATACCTTATTTTAATGCCCCTATTACCATTCTATTGAGGGTTTGGAAAGAGTGCACATAAAGCCATGTATTCAATCTTCTAAGTAAAGCAGAATCTTTTCTTTCTTTCTTTTTTTCACAGTGGATAAAGACAGCAGCTCTGATTTATCTAAAGACTCAAATAAATTAATCAGGTAAGTTTTTCTTCATACAATTCTATGTCAATTTATTTACTAAAGGGCTGTTTATTTAAACTGTTTACATGATCTCTCATAATTGAATATTTTTTGACTCAGAAAAGGAAGTAGATATCTTTCCTCTTACAATACATTTTTAAGATGTTTTCAGGGAGAACGTGGGAAATTATTGAATTCTTTCTAGATGATTACATTAATGTTGAAAGGAACTATATGAACTCACCTAGTCTTTTAATTTTGATAGTGTTGAAAAGAAAAAGCATGTTGTGAACATAATGAGTACAAATCCTTATAGACAGCAGAAATCCAAGCAATTTAGGAGAAGGTAGGTTCTAGAGAAAATGGTGAGGATAAGGGCAGAAGCCACTGTACCTTTTGGGAGACAACCTGACACTGTGGCATAAATTCAGCCTTGAACACACGCACCAGGTATAGGTCAGTGTTCTCCTATATCGTTCTGCAGGTATATGTTGTTTGGCTTTCTGGTTATATAGATATAGTCTTTTGTCAATAGTCATCAATTTGTATGCTTAATATCTGTGTTTTACTGAATGCAAATTATACTTTAAGTTAGTCTAAAAATAGTCAACTATCTTTGCAACTCTTTTTATAAATCTAGTTATTTCAAAAAAAATTTTTTGAATAAAGGTATCAAAACTTTTTTCAGTGGGTAGAAGAAATGGGTATACTTCCAAATTTCCAAACTCTGATTCTAAAATATGAGATTATTTCAAGAAAGACAAATTATAGCCTAACCGATTTGGCTCAGTGGATGGAGCGTTGACCTTCGGACTGAAGGGTCCTGGGGTTCGATTCTGGTCAAGGGCATGTACCTTGGTTGCGGGCACATCCCCAGGAGGGGTTGTGCAGGAGGCAGCTGATCGATGTTTCTCTCTCATCGATGTTTCAAACTCTCTATCTCTCTCCCTTCCTCTCTGTAAAAAAATCAATAAAATATATTTTTTTTAAAAAGACAAATTATAGACCAATATCTCTCAGAAGCACAGGTGCATAAATCTAATCAAAATATTAGCAAATTGAATCCACTGATAAATAAAACATGACACTCTATCATGACCAAGGGGGCTTGATTTCAGGAAAGTCAGGTGGGTTAAAATTTGAAAATCAATCAGTGTAACTCACCCTGTTAAATAAAGGGGGGGACCCACAAAATGATCTCAATTAATCCAGAAAATATATTTGCTAAAATTTAACACCCATTCATGATAAAAATTCTCAGCAAGCTAAGAATGAAAGATAATTTCCTTATCCCAATAACCTTATACTTAAATGTGAAATGTTGGAACGCTTTTTCTTCTGAGTTTAGGAACAAGACAAGTATCCCGTTATCACCACTTCTAGTTAACACTATACTGGAGGTCCTAGCTAGTGCAATGGGGCAAGGAAAAGAAAGATAAGCTCTGAAGTTTGGAAAGAATGAAGTAAATATCTTTATTAACAGACTAGAGGTCCAGTGCACGACAATCGTGCACTGGGGGAGGGGGCGGTCCCTCAGCCTGGCCTGCACCCTCTCACAGTCCGGGACCCCTCAGGGGTTGTGCACCTGCTAGCTTAGGCCCGCCCAGGCCTAAGCTGGCAGGTGGACATCCCCCGAAGGGTCCTTAGAGCTGCCACCAAGGTGGAAGAGGCTCCCACCGCTGCCGTGGCGCTCGCCAGCCATGAGCCCAGCTTCTGGCTGAGCGGAGCTCCCCCTGTGGGAGCACACTGACCACCAGGGGACAGCTCCTGCATTGAGCGTCTGCCCCCTGGTGGTCAGTGCACGTCATAGCAACCAGTTCTGAGGTTTGGTCAATTTGCATATTAGGGTTTTATTATATAGGATAATAGGATTATTTACATAGTAAAATCCAACTGAATATACAATGCTTGAAAATTAATGAGTGAATTCAGCAACAACCCTGACTACAAGGTGAACATTTAAAAATCAACTATAGTTTTGTATACTAGCAACCAACACATAGAAAGTGAAATTTTAAAAACACTGCTACAACAACAAAATTTAACAAAGACAACTATATTGAAAACTGTAAAATAAATCTGGGGGGAAATTTTAAAGACCTAAAGAAATAGAGATATACAATGTTTGCAACTTGGGAAGAGTCAACATTACTATAATGCCAATTCTTCCCAAATTAATCTATGGATTCAATTCAATCTCAGTCAAAATCTTAGCAGTATTTTTCTGGAAATCAACAAGGTGATCCTCAGCACAATTTACCATAGCTAAGATTTGGAAATAGCCTAAGTGCCCATCAGCAGATGAGTGGATTAAAAAACTATGGTACAGCATACCAATGGACACAGACACTGGGGCAGTGGGGGCTTGTCCTGGGGGTTGGGTGTGGCGGGGCGGGGGGGCGGTCACTGGGGAAAAAGGAGACATGTGTAATACTTTAAACAATAAAAATGAAAAATAAATACTAGTAAAATGTATCTAGAAATGCAAAGGATTTAGACTAGCAAGGCAATTGAAGAAGAAGGACAAAGAAGATTGACATTCCTAGATATCAAGATGTACTAGAATGTGAGAATAAATTTTGCTCCAATTGGATCTTTTTAGGTCAGGTTCCTATCCCTGAACTTGTCACCATTGTTGGACAGCCCTAAATTCACCAGGCCCTGACCTAGAGCCAGGGGTGGGGGCAGTTCCGTCAGACCAAATGACATATACACAATGGGAGAAGAACAAACTAGTTGTTCAGGAGGCCACCACAATGTTCACTGTGACAGCCTTCCTATACACAAAATTTCACCGGACCAGAACCTTGTTAAGTAAGAGTTTGTCAGCACAGAGAGCAAAGGAGTCTCTGGCTGGAACTGCTTGCACAGACACCGACATGGGATGTTACAGTGTGCTCAGGGTCAGCCGGAGGTTCCATGCGATGGTGCCTCTGGGCGTGTGCGTGGATGGTGGGAGTAAAGGTTGGGAAAGACTTGATGATGAAGAACCTGGAGTTCTATCAGAAAGAGTTTAGATTTCATCCTATGGAATTAGGAAATCAAAGGTGTCTTTCACACAGAAACATGGTAACCTGGAATAGGGAGAGACTGAGATAGAAAAACAGTTAGGAAGCTGTTTCGAGTTTGCAGGAGAGAAGTGATGAGGTACTTATCTGAGTCCGTTCAGAAGACCAGCTGACACTGGGCACTGAGGCGTACTGAAGCCTCTCCTTAGCTCTTTCCATAGTTGATGTCATTGAGTGCTCACAAGGAACGCGGGACAGACTCTCTCTCTCTTGGTTTTATAGGTGAGGAAACAGGAGTAGAGGGTTAGGGCATTTTCCCAGCCAGGAAGTCACACAGCCAGGAAGTCACAGTGCCAGAGTGCTTCCTCCGGGCCAGGTGATTCCAGAGCCGGTGCTCTTAATCAGGATACTAAATGACTCCGTACCCAGAGACACTAGAGGCTTGGTCCTTAGGCTTTGTTACGGTTGGCATGTTGCTTCCCCGAAATAGCACTAGCACAGTTCTCTGCTCCCCGTAATTTCCCTGTTGTTTCTTTCACTGGCTCCTCTCAGCTATGAACTGGTTTCTGCTCTTTCTTTTCTAAACACTTAATTACTCTTCTGGAGTTTGTTTTCCCTAATGGCGTCATCTATCAACCTTTATGTTGATTTGACCCAAATCTCCTATTTCCAGTCTCAATTTCTCAATCACACTCCTAAAGGTCAGCACCTAAAACCCGTGTTTAAAATTAAACTCATATTTTACTTCAGTTTCTCTAGGCGCTTTCTATTAATAGCAAAACGAACCGGTCATCTGGGCTTTAGGAGAATATTTGACCCTCAAATTCCTTCACCTTTCACACCCTAAGCAGTCCAGTCCGTTCCTTGCTGTTGATTCATCTCCCCCCTTTCATAATCCTTTGCTCCCATCCTAGTATTAGCTCTCTGTGTCTCTTGCCTGAATTATTACATTTGTTTCTTCAGTTGTCCCCCAGCATTTAATTTCCCATACAATCCACCCTGCATACTAATGCCAGAAAAAAACTCTTACACACTGATCTCATAATTTGCTTGCCTTGTTGGAGAACTTCTGATTGCTCTCTATCACCTAATAAATCAAGATGACTGAGTCAACTCTAATCCATTCTCTGCCTAAATCTGAAGACCCTGCATTGCCCAGTTTCGCTTATTTTATCAAATTCCAACGCCTCTGGAATTGGAACTCTCCACTCTCGTCGATTATCTTGTTACTATCGTCTTTCCCCCAGCACGCCCTGTACGCACAGGCCCGGCTCCTTCCCGTGTGAGCTGTTAATTGCTGTGTTTCCCTGGCTGAAAATGCTGCTTTCCTTGGTTCCAGGGCCACATCCCAAGTCACTCTTTCCCTCTTGGCTCCAAAATAAAGTTATCTCTCCCTATTCCAACCTCTTCTGCTTACTGCCATTGCCAGAGAAGTACCTGCCATCATCCTCTCCAGATGCTTGTGTTAAACGCTGTAACACTTCACAATGTTAATATGTAAAGCTGTGCTATTGACTAATTCAGGTAGACATCTTATTTTCCCCGGTAATGAGCTCTGAGGTTCAGTTTTACATGATGTCTTCTACTTTTTCATATTCGTAAGGCTTCATAAAGTCCTGGTATCGGTTGAAACTATAAGCACGTGTATTTTTTATGCTGTGTCTATCCCTGTAAACTTAGCCGTTTACCTGAATAGTAGTAAAATCCTTACCGTTCTCTTCTTTTATGGGGCCGTTTCCTTTACAGAAGTGGAAATGCAAATATCCCCAGGTGTTTAGGACAGTCTTTGCATATTCAAGCTATACTAAAGTTATGCCTTTTAGAGTAATATTTTTAATTATTCTGGAGGAAGAAAAGAAAGCCCCCGGAGGCTAACAGTTTGAAATTGAGCAGGACACTGTTGGGGAGGGGGGGAGGGTCAGGGGTCATCGTCAAACAGACAAAAGACAATGGAGACTATTGTGCCTGAAGATGGTGTATTTTTTTTTCAGAGACAGTGTGTTGACAGTTTCCTTCCTCTTGGGTCATTGTTGTCTGCTAAGTGATCTGTGACAGCAAATTGATCACCAGCTTTTTCATGCAGGAGACATAATGCAGCCTTTCATTTCGTTACCTCCGTTGCCAAATGCCGAAACATTTCTTTGGGAAATTAATGTTAGTTTAGTATATCATTTAGTAGTAGAAAGCACCACCTTGTAGTTCTGGAAGCAATAGTAGCCGTGATTCATTTATCTTCACCAAGTTTCAGATTCCTACATAGGTGTGATTGCAAAAGCAATAACACGTTTGAAAAATGTTAGTCTTAAAATGAGGTGTCTGCAATTGTCATTTAAAGAAATGAATGCGTTAACACATTTAGATATTGCCCCATTCGTTTCAAAATGTAGTCAAATATTTACTTTCAGGCACCTATAAAAATTAATGCCGGTAGACCTGTTCTAACAGAAAAGTTGTTTCTTCCTCCAAAAGGCTAGGAACCTAAAATGGAACACAGACATAAGGCCTTTTACATTTGATGCTCAACCATCTCAGCCAGTCAGGTAGTGAGCTCACGGGTCTGAAAAATACCCCAAAGTAACGTTTTGTTTGTAGAATGTTGAGAATCTCTGCCCTCAAGAAATCTGTAGGGAAAAAATTGGAAAGGCAGTTATTTAAGAGACTATTTCACAGTTCCTGTTTAATACTTTATAGCAACTGTTGCTTTCCCGTTAGGACAGAGGAACATTAGCCCGGGGAAGTAAACCCGCAGGCAGGAATCCCAGGAAAGAGTTGCAAGTTCTGCTTTGATAATGGCCGAATTCTGTGTCAAAATTAAACTAATCTCAATGCTGGTGTGTCATCTCTCCTCATAATAAAGGAGAAATAAAGGTGACTTGACTAACATTTGGCGTAGTAATGTAAGACAATTATCTATTGAAGAAAGAAAATGTATAGGTATGATCCTTTCCGTGCAGTTCCTGTTCAGTTAGCCATGAAAGGCAGATAACTTCCACCTGCTGCTGTTGTTTATATACCACACGTGGGTGCACATTTATATCTATGATTGAAAAATGATTTGGATGGGTTTTCATTTTTGTGATTTGTGTGTATCAGTGGAGGAATTAATACGTCAGGTTTGTTAAAAACTGCGAATCAGTTTAATGTCTTGTGACAAGATACTGTTATCTGAAGCAAACTTGCAAACTACTCACTGTCTGACTTTAATTTATGTTCTCAGAGCAATTAGAGTCTCATTTGATGATTATCACAAGACCTGGTCTGATCTAGCTACGTCCAAGGCTGCGGAAAGTTTCAGAACCCCACGTAAGCCGGTCTCCCCCCATCCCCGGTCCTTGTGGGGCATGTTCATCTCATAATCATTCTCAGCGTGTCTTGCTCTTAAAGACTAGCCGACATATATTTGCAATTTGAAGGTGATAAACTTCTCGGTTTGTTCTGCATACGAATCAACTTAATTTCGTTCCTCTTTTGTTTAGCACCTTGGACTGGCATCTGATTAAAAGCCAGAAGGAAAGATAGGCAATTGGAGGAATGAAAGGTGACAGTCTCTATCTTAAGAGGTTTACTTTACTCCTCTCACCCCAGAAAGAAGCCTTCACAGCAGACGGAACCTTTCTGATTCTAAACACTATTAATCTTCCAAGCCAGAGAACATATTAAGTAGAAAGACACACACACACACACACAAAAAAAAAAAAACACCCATATAAAACTAGGGCTTTCAATTATATCAATCTAAGGCCATCAGACATTAGGAATTAAAAAGACAGGAGAGCTGGACAACTTTGGAATCCCATTTAATCAAATCTTTAGAGTACTATTTCATTATTTGGGTCAAAGTAGGTTATCCAGTTGATACACACTTACTGAAATATGGTTTTGCTTCAGTTATTCTGCTGAATGGTACATTCTGAAATTGCCAGTGACTTCCCAATTCCCAGATTCGGTAATTATTTTTCAGTCTTTATCTTGTGCTCGCATCAGC